TTTTCAGCTTCCGCTCTACCTCTCCTAGGTGGGCCTTCCAGTTGAGTTTCCAGTCCAGCCAGACCCCTAGGAATCTGGCCGCTGCCATGGGCTTCCAGGTGCCAATATACATCTACAGGTAAGTTAGGTATGTATCGTACAAATCCGTTTGATGACTTGCCCCCTGGTTACCTACAGTCCATCAAGTCCAAGCAAGTAAGATATGGAAAGAAGGGCCCCAAGCCCAGCCGTGAAGCATGCCAGGCTCGCAACGGCTAACCTCTGGCCGGTGTTCTCTGACGTGCAGTTTGACGGCGGGTACAAACTGTGGCACAATCTAGCGGCAGTCATACTCGCGGCCGCGGCAGCGTCGATCTTGACAAGACATGGATTCGCAGTCTGCGTCGGTGTTGAGGATGCCACCACCACACAGGTCCCATTCGCCTGGCCGTTCCAGCTCATCCCCGGTGGCACCTTCATGGTTGTGTCGGTGACGTTGATAGCCACTCCGATTTCCTTCGGGCAGGCCGTGTCGTTGGCTGTTGCAGCAACCAAATCGACCTTCTGCCCCTCATTACTGGTCTGGAACTCAACGTTCCAGCTTGAGCCATTGGTGTGAATGTTGTTGCGCCCAGGTCCAAAGTCGTTCTCGTCGCAGCTTTGCCAGAAGATGTCAGCGGATAGCTTCCAGCTCGACTCCTTAGTGAAATTCCCGAAGAAGGTATATGCGAAGTACGGTTCGCTGCTGGACCAGTTGGTTTTCCATGTCAGGTGGTGCGCGTGTGAGGACATACCCCGACCAGACCCGGTTTCGTTGAGGTCCAAGATGTAATAGACAATCGACGGATTGAGAAATCGGGCGAGCTCGGCGTTCCGAAAAGCAAAGATGATGGGCATCGATGACGTTGGCGCATAGTTCCCGTTGGGGCGTGGAAAAGCCTGGTCAATCTCCAAAATGCCGGCAGCATCGACCATAAGCCCAAGCAAGGCAAAGAAACCAACAACGGCCCACGCCGTCCAGAAAAAAAAGTGCATACTGCGTAAGTAAAGTTGAGAGGAAGGTCGTGGCAGACTGTGGACGGGCAGTGTGGCCGGGAGAAGTTGATGAAAACGCCCCGAATTCGAAAACCTGAGGAAGGCAGGACGAATTGAACTTGGATGATACAACGGGAGAGAGGAGGACGTTGGGGGGCTGGGTAGACCATCAGAACGCAATGACGGCTCCTGTCTTAGCACTTGGCACAGCACCGGGCAAGCAATGCACCGGGCCAATTGGTCTGTTGAACCTTTTGCCGCCAAGTTAAAATGACACCATGTTTGATGAGGGTCTCGCTAAAAATGGCTCGACAGTACCTGACCTACAGGTGCTATACAGTGAGACTTCTCCGTCCATTGACTCCATTCTCATCTCAACATCCCTTGATTGAGACACCCCAGTGACCATATAATAACGTGACATGCTACCTTAGATTGGCATGGTTGCTGTGATCACGGGCGGCCATGAACTTCACAGCTGCAAATTTGTTGTTAGTTCGGTCTTGACATAAGCGACTGTTACCTTGTGCTCGATACTCTCCAAGTATTGCAACCCCTGTCAAGTGTATCGTAATTGATTCTAGGATCCACCCTCCCGCCCTAGTTCCGGTTCGCGTCCACTACATGTGTCAAGCCAACAGAAGTCCGTTACAATGCAAGGTTGTAATGCAGTTATGCAGATGCACTCTGCAGAGAAACTATTTCCGTGATAGGAGCTATTGATGCACTTGGCGACACTATCACGGCCACTTCTCCGGCTCGCCGACATTAGCTACATGGGGTCCTCGTTGAGCCTTGTCGCCGCGATTGGATACCTAATCCATTTTCAGCCGTCGGGATATGGTAATCACCATATCGTCAGGTAGGTAGGTACCTAGATGCCATATGCCGGCCACTAAGAAGTTGCAACAAGCGAGCTTTTTCATCGAAGCAGCTCAGGTGGGTTACCCATGAATATGTTCCAGATGAGTATAATACTTAGCTCGGAAGTCTGACTTGGGTACATTTGTCTCTTGCTTCCACCACGCTTGCCGACCTACTTTACCTACCTTATTCTCACCTCACCAGATTCCCGAGTCCAAGGCCAAGTCACATCGTCCAAGGATGCACGAGAAGCACCTTCTTGCCATTGGGCTCGGCCCAGGACTGGTTGCTGCACGAGCCATGTCACGCCGCGCGGTTATTTGCGAGGTCGCTGTGACACCTGACAGTGTCGACACCTGCGTGGGCTTGGCCGCCAATTGGGGAATCTCAGTCGATGAGCTCGAGAAACTAAACCCAGGCATCACCTGCCCTGACCTCGATACCAGCAAGGAGTACTGTGTGGTTGGCACCGTCACCAATGATCCGTCCACAACCACGTCTGATACGCGACCCACTACCTCGACCTCGCGGTCCATCACGTCGACCACCAACCCGTCCTCGTCCACCGCTCCGTCCTCAACAACCTTCAAATCTTCGACGTCGACTCGGTCTTCAACCACTACTAGTACTTCTGCGACCAACCCAAACAACACCCCAGTCCCAACCCAGGACGGCATGGTTGGCAACTGCAACAGGTTCCATTTCGTCCAAATTGGCCAAACCTGCGCGACCATTGCGGTTCTTTACTCCATCTCGGTGCCCCAGTTCATCCAGTGGAATCCCGCAGCCAAGGCCGACTGCTCCGGCCTCTGGGCTTCGACGGTACGATGCTGTCCCTGAAAGACACGTTCCTTCCCTCATACTCATGCGCGGACAACGCTGACCCATTGAACCAGTATGCCTGCGCTGGAATCATTTGGGGTTAACCCAGCACCTACTACCACGAAGCCAACAAACGGAATCACAACACCTACACCCGCGCACCCGGGTATGGTTAGCAAATGCAACAAGTTCGTCTACGTCAATCCTGAGGATACCTGCGACGGAATTGGCTTCTGGAATGGCATTGGGGGCCAGTGGGTCAAGCTCTGGAACGGCATCAAGGAGGAGTGCAGGTCGATTCAGGCACACACCTACCTCTGCATCGGTGTTATTGGCGGCACACCAACACCGACGCCGACAAACCCCGGAAATGGAGTCTCGACTCCCCGGCCCCCACACCCAGGCATGGTCAGCAATTGTAACAAGTTTGTCTATGTCAATCCAGGGGATACCTGCGACGGCATTGGTTTTTGGAACGGGTGTTCCGGGAGGCGGGAAGTCGGTCAAGATCTGGAACGGGATTGAGGAGGAGTGCCGGTCAATTCAGGCTTATACCTACGTCTGTATCGGCGTCATGTGAAGGAGATGCATTGGTTGGTGGTTTCATGTCAATACTCGAGCTACCAACCGTCGGAACGAAGCCGCCTTGATGGCTGCATTCAACGGACCTCGCTGATTGATTGGTGCCAGCACTGCAACCCCTCTTTCTTACCTAGGTACTTAGTCCTCTCCCATGCCCATCAACAGCATGGTCAATCAGGCACTTTTACCACCCTACTACTAGAAGCATCATCGCCCGGAATTGGGTTGCAGTTCCATTCTTTGTCCCACTTACTAGAAAACAAGAGATGCTTTGGAAGAGGCTGTCAAAGTGGAGTTTCGGTGTGTTCAGCTGATTGGTTAAAACGCGTCAATGTGTTGTGCCCCACGAGTACTTGACTAGGGGGTTTTCTTTATGCACGCGACCACAGTAACCAGCCCCTACGGTTCCCTTTTGCCATTGGCGGCACCCATGTAGAGCTCTGCCTCCCGGACCCACTGAATCCCACCGAACAAGCCTTCCACGTGCGCGCTTCTCCCAAACAGGCATCTCTTGGCGCCTGGGGTGGTAGAGTTCCACCCAGGGGTGCTGGAGCTTTCCCGGTGATAAGAGTTCCGCCCTGCCATTGGCCGAGCCCAAGAGATGCCCGGGGGGTAGAGTTCGATTGCCCGGGGGTAGGGTTCCGGGGATACGGTTCCAGGGGGGTTGAGGGAGATGCGAAGCGCGTTCTCGCGACTCCTTTTTTTTTCTTTTTTTTCTTTTTAAAAAAGGCGAAAGAGGTTCGGACGGACAGCAGATAAGAGCGACGGCCCCCAGAGAGAGACCACCATAGTTATCCGCGATGGAGCCCTTCGTCCACCTGCCACAGCACCGAGTCGTAATCTGCAAGCGCTGCCGATTCGCCTGTGTGGCCAACGAGGTACCAGCCCACTTGCGGACACGACACGCCGATGTGCCCGTCGCCGAGCGACACGCTATCGCCCGCGCGGTCCAGCAGCTGCCCGACATCATCCGGACGCAGGAGGACCTGGCCGGCTTCGAATTCCCTCCGCCGACGTCCGAGGCGATCCCATTCCTCGGCCCTTCGCGGCCGGACGGGCTCAAGTGCCGCGTATGCCCGTATATCGTTTGCCATCCGAAGAAAATCCAGAGCACGCCCGAAAAGTGCATGGCTGGCATAACCCGCTGAGAAGCGGCAGGCCGCCGGCCGGTCCCGGTCCGCTGCCGCTGCACGACGTGGAGCTCCCGTAGATCGACGGCGTGCTATGCCAGCGTCTTTTTTCCTCACAGGCTGCTAGCGGATGGTTCGAGGTCTGCCGGGAGGACCGAGCCGTCCGTGGCCTGCTGCGGACTCTGCTGCCGAAACCGGTCGTGCCAACTCGGTTACTACAAGGGAGCATGAAAGCCGCCGGGCCGAGAAACAAGAAGCAACCACTCCTACTACCAGTCAGTCTAGAGACCCAGGCCCCCTCCGACATGGTCCGAGGCCGCGGGTGGCTGTTACCCGTCAGTCCGGATGCCCAGATACACTTGGATACGATTTTGGCCCGCGAGAAGAGATTCGTCGACTCGGGGAGCCAGCCGCGTGGACATGGCGGGCAACAACTCAACTCAACTCAACTCGGCCCTGAAATTGGGTTGAGTTGGGCCTCCGGCCAGCCGAGTTGATTGAGGCCATTCACAAGTTGAGTTGAGTTGCCGAGTTGCAACTCAACGCCAGACCTTATGCAATACAGCAAAAAATATTAGTTATCCAGACCTGAGCACCCTACTCTCCAGCCCCCTGAGCCAAACCAGAACCCCCTACCGCAGTCGACTCCACTGCTTGAGGCTTTCCACTATATTGATAGCATCATCATGTAGGCGGTGGCGTTGATGGCCAACTGTGTGCCTGGCCCTGCTGAATACCCTCTCGCACTCTGAAGACATCGCCGGTATCGTCAACAAGTCCAACGCCATGATGGAAAGGCGTGGAAAGTCGCTCCTTCTGCCAGGGCTCAACCACCGCTCCACAGCATCGTCAATTTCCTCAGGGTCTTCAGATAGATAGGCCTGAAGCTCATCCCTAGTTGCAGGGTCCGGCCGGCGAGCGTAGAAAGTGTGACGATGCGGCACCAAGCGGTTGGTCCAGGCAGTCCGTTGACTGCCCGCTTGGGCAAGTCGGCGTTGTTCGGCAAGCAGCTGGGCAGCTAACTGAGCCGAGAACTGGCCTTGCGACTGAGCCGGTGACTGGGGCAGGTTGATTGGGCAGCTCGACGTCGACAGATCCATACTCTTGTTGGTAAAACGCCCTAAATTCGGTCTCAATACGCGCTGCCCGGTCCGGTTCCAAGTATTCAGTCAACCACTTGACCTTGTAAGCAGGATGCAGTATAAGGGCCGCCCAGTAGACCGGGTTCTCCTCCATCAAATCAATATACTTCGCCAGCTTCACGATAGCGAAGTCAAGGCTCTTTTGGATATACCGCATGCCTTCATCACCAAGCTCAAACTCGGATGTTTCAGCGCCAACAGGTCTTTCCTCAGGGCCAAGGAGAGTGATGTCAGGCGGCAGCACTTGCCCAGGTGTGTGTCCAGGTAAGTCAACTTCGTGGCCATCGAAGCGCCTGGGCAGGGTTCTCGCCCGCTGCGGCCGGCCTGAACTAGCCCCCAGGCGAGTGGCCGTTGCCGGCATTGCCGTCATTGCTGTGGATGTCGTTGCCATTGTGAAGTTCGGGAGCGGCGCCCCGCCTACCGTGATGGAAGAGCCTGCCGCAACACCATCTCCACGATCCACTGCTGGGATATTAGGGCTGTCAAAAGGCATAAAGGCAAGGCGCTCGTCGAATTGCAGCCTTCTTTCCCTGAGGTCGTCAAGAAGCCAACAAACAGTCAGGATAACCTCAGCAAAGCGGGGATTCCTACCCTCGAACGCTTTGGTAAGTCGCTGCAACGGCTCAAGTATGGTCTTGACGGCCGTTAATATCTCCCAGTCTTCCGGCCCTAATTGATCTTCCTGATCCAACCGCCTGTCTTTGTCCTTCTCGCGCAGCGCCATCATACAGAAAGCATCAACTTCATCACGCAGACGAAGCGCACGTTCGATCATCGCGTAGGCCGAATTCCAGCGGGTATCGTTGTCAGCAACAAGTTGTTCGAAAGGAAGATTTTCGCCGGAAACCGTGATGCCCAGGTCTTCAAGGTCTTCTTGTGGAAGTCGGCGCCGGACAATGGCAACAAAAGTATCGCGGCGCTGAGGACTGCGGCGAACGTAATGGACGACGTTGTGAAGCTTGCCGACGGGACCCCTCTTGCGCCAACGCTTCAAGAGAGCGACTTCTTCCTCAACAGAGAAACTTTCTTGCGAGCTCAGCTCAAGAGTATTCAGGAGGTTAGAATTATCAGCTTCAAGGAAAGCCTTGGCAACGAGATTGATGATGTGACCAAAACATCGAATTCGGCGCCGGGTCCGAAAATGACTGGCTTCGGCAACAGTCCGGCCGTCGCGAAAGGTATGGAAAACACAGGTGGTGTTGGATTCCGCGTTGTCTGACTGGAAATATCCCAGGCCAGCTTCATCAACGTCGAAAGACTGAAGACAACGCTGCAAAACAAGGGCGACGTTCTCACCACTGTGGCTACCTTTGACTCGGTAGATACCAAGAAGAGGGCATTGCAACGCCTTGTTGGCGTCAAGAAAATGGGCGATGACGGCTAGCAAGCCGTAACTATTTGGTGAGGTCTAAAGATCGAAGGAAATGTGTCTCTTCCTGATGGCACCCGCCAGCATCGTCTTGATCACGTCGAATTTGTGGTGATACCGCGCCTGAACCCATGCCTTGACCGTGTGGTGGGACTCCGGCAGCAGCGCCCGGGTCAGCGAGGGATTCAGAAGCATCAGGATATCGCGAAAAGCGCCATTTACAATACCCCGGAAAGGTATGTTGTTGTTGACCACCCAGTCTACCATCGCCTCTTTGAAGCAGTCTTCTGTCGGGCGAGCGACCGGTATTCGCGTGGCATCACGTTGTTGCTGCAACACGGTCCTTCTCTTCTTGGTAGGAGGTTCAGATTCTGAAGAATTGCGATACCGACGATGCTTCTTTTCCAGGTGGTTGGACGCACTCGATGTCGCCTTGACGGCGTAGATTTCTCCACAGAGACCACAACACCAAGAAGTTGGACCTTCAGCACCGGTTTCGCGATCCATCTCGACAAGGGAAACGCCGTGATCGGAAATCCACGATGTCCTCGGGTGCCGCTTGAGAAGCCGGGCTTGGATATACGAGGTTTTCTTGGACAGAATGAACGGCCAATCCTTGTAGTTCAGGCCTAAATCGCCGTCCTGGATGTTCTCCTGTGCCTTGATCTGTTGCAGGATGCTTTTGGGCCGCGCAAATATAGCATAACTGGGCATTGTGGCAACTGCGGCAGTCGTATTTAGCGTACGGTCGGAGGAGGTCTGGACAGTCGATAGCTCTGTCGAGAGGTCGGTGTCGGCAACAGAGGCAACGGAGGGAGGCATCGTGGGTTCGGTAAGTGGGTAGGTAATAAGGACAGGAAAGTCGCAGTCGGCTTGCCTCCCAGGTACGTGCGGCAGGCGAAGACTAGATTGGCCTGCAAGACCACCCAAAAAGCGCCGAAAAGGCAGGAGGGCACTTTGGCTGCCCTGTTTTCTTCGGATATAATGTTTATCCGCTGCCGAATGCCTCTGTTGGGCAATGGCACGAACACCAAAACAGACTGGTGCGACGAGGAGTTTCCAGGGGTCTTGGCCTCAATGTACCTCAACTCACCAACTCAACCCGGCCGTGAAGTTGGGTTGAGTTGGGCCTTTTTTTGCATAAGTTGGGTTGAGTTGAGTTGAGTTGAGTTGAGTTGAAGTGAGTTGAGTTGATGCCCACCTTGCGCGTGGATACCGCCGAGACACGGGAGGTGGCGATGTGTTCGCTGCGTCAAACTCCATGGATGGCCCGGACGCAGTGGCCGGCGACGTACAAGGGCGTGCGGTGCCGGCGTGGCAGGAGCAGGCCATGGACATGTCCTTCCGCTATTTCGCGGGCGAGGACATGGACCTGCAGCTCAAAATTGCCGAGAAGGTGCTGACGGACGAGAACAGGGCCATGGTGTTCTGCAAGATGCCCGACGCCTTGCGCCGCCACTGGGTCAAGCGCCTGCGGGAGGTGCACAATAGGACTGCGTAGCCTCCCCCCGCCTGCCCCGGCCCCGGCCCCGGCCCCGGCTGATTTTTGTTGCTTTTTTTCTCTTCGGTTGTCTTCCTCGTGCGGGAAGGAGGTCGGGCTGAATACGAGATTCGAGGGGGGCCACGCGGTAAGGGACATATGGATGAGCATGTACAGATGTACGGGGACGAGAGCACACGAGGGAATGGACGGTCAAGGTCTGGGCATTGTCGAGCCGAGACGGGACGTCCGCCGATGCGATACCGGCTGGGGAATTATTCTGATGCTGCCTTCAGTTTGCATGCGGCGTTGTGGGGTTTTCGAATTTCCCCACCTGGGCTGGGACGGGCTGGTTCTTGTCTTTTCCACCCCCTGTTTCTGCTTTTCCCGGGGATGGGGGCTTGGATGTTTGGGTGGTATACTTGGACGCGCTATCTTCTTCTGTCTCGGGTCCTGGAGGCCGCCACGCCGCTGTGTTTCCGGAGGTTGCTTTCTACGGCGTCGCTCAGATACCACCTGTATTCATACGCGCTCGGGCCCTGCTACGTGAGTTGGGAGAGGCTGCTAATTGAGGGGGGCTCTTGATTGTGGTTCTACTCGTGGGATGGCTAGGTTCATGTTCCGCATTGGCCGCCGGTATGTGTGCAATGCCACGTGCATGAAACAGAGTTCAATCTTGCGAGCAGGTACATATCAAACGCGTCAAACGGATTCCATTGAAGCCCGACTTGAAGATATCTCAACGCTCAGTCACAGTACCGCCCAACATATCGTCGTCGTTGACCGGCGACTTGACTCGGAATGAATGACCGTGTCACCATAGAACCATGACTGCGCCATCCCACGTCCTACGCCGGCTGTTAACCTAGGACCCTTGTGGAGAAGCCAGGGGAGAAAACCTACCCTCTCCTTGCCGGGCGTCGACCCCTCGGGTCTTAGCACTTGCACTCCCCGGGCTTACACTGACAGGTGGAACCGCAGTTGCAGCTGGAGCTACCGCAACCGTTCATGTTGGTAGTAGTATGATGTTTGGCTTTGGGCGGTTTCTGTTTTATGGGCGTGCTTGTGGTCAAGCTGGTCGCTGAAATGCTCGGGTTTCGTTGCGATACGAGGACGAGAGATGGGGAACCCGGGAGGAAGAAGCAGCGACGTATTTATCCCCTGCGGGACCCCCATTTCTCTCCCCTCCTCTGCTGATGATGGCGCCACGGAGGGGCCAGCTGACCTTTTTCCCCTCTCCACGCCAAACTCGTTTCAAGTTTCACACGTCACACCCCACTCGATGGGTGGGCGAGGAGTTGTGGACACGGCGGCTAGGTAGCTAGTTAGTAGGGCATGCTGAGGCGCAGTGCCGGCAGATTGGGGAGGTCCGGTGGCTGTGGTTAGGCGAATGATAACATGTCCCGCGGGATTCTCAGCGGACCTCGGCGCCTGGGCGAGCAAGTTGCGCGCATTGTGCGGGGAGGAAGCGGGCGCGGGTGCTCTTGGGAGGAGAGGTCGACACACCGACGCCGATTCGGTCAAGGCGCCCCCTCACTGCTCAGTTTCAGGTTGGTTCCAGTTGGCTGGCTTTGATTGGGGGCTATGCCGCTTGTGTAATCTTGCGCTTTCCCCGACGCCACGTCGACGCCCGTCTCCAGCCTTTCCCAGACTTTACCCAGAGAAGTGGCACGAGATGTCACACGCCAGGGAGCCGGCATAACCGATGCCAAGTACGGAATGCATGGTGGTTGGCGACTTGACGTTGGCGTCCGAGATTTACCTGCCGCCGTCCTCGGGGAATTCGACGTCTTGTTCTAGAGAAGTGTAGTCTGCCTAAGGTACGCTGGCTTGAATGGGACATAGCAGAAATGCTTTCGACGAAATCGACAGTGACGACACCGTAGTGACCCTTCGAAGGAGCTAGCACCAGCTGCAGCGCGTGGCTTCGCGAGAAAATGTTGTCCAGGAACCTCCTTTCTCCGGTGCCAAGATAACCTCGACATTGGGATTCCGGGCGAGGCAGAAGCCACAGAGGGGATATGGAAGAATCACCACAGTATTCTCTCTGATACGGAAAAGAGCCGTAGGCTGGGAAAAAAGGGCAAATGCCATGTATTCGGGGAGAAGTCAGGTTGTCGTCCTCTGGTAGTTGCAAGCAGCAACTGCAGTGGTGGGAGATATCCCACGATCCAGAGTGGGGCAGCGTTATCTTATCTACATACAAACAACCACCCCACCAATGGTGGGGTATAACACCTAGCTCTAACCCTGCGCGATACCTTCCGGTATCAAATGCCGGCACGCAAAGGAAAACGCAGTGCCCTCACTGCGCATGCATCGCTCGGCAAGGTGATGACAGTCAGCCTGGGCGAACCATGCTTGCCATCCTTGCCATCCAGAGACTTGGGTCCAACTGGTCCAACTGCATCGACTTTCCTGCTCTCCAACCACTGTTCTTGATGATCCAGTTCTTCAAAGCCCTGACTGGATCGTTGCCGTTGAGGGTGACAGAAGGACTGGCGCGGCCAGAGGATCTGGAACGCCTTACGCGGCCGTGGGTCCGAAGATGGTCGAAAAGCTGGTTCCTCGATGCGAACACATGGCCGCAGGTGCGGCAGGTTCACTGGGCGGTCGGGTGAGCTGTTGCGCATGCGTTTGACTGGGCTGTTGGTAAGGCAGTCGCGCAAGTGGTCGAGTGGGCGGTCGCGCATGTAATTGAGCAAGCCGTTGAGCTGGACGAACGTCGCGCCGGAGGGCCGGAAGAAGTTTTTTTCGGAGCCGCCTTTTGTTGAATATCGACGAGTTCAGTGGAAATCACGTGTCCGGGCGATTTGACGGCTGGTTCGTTCAGAGCTGTGGGCTCTGCCACAAAGGCTGGCACCGCAGTCAGCTCTGCAGCCGGTACTGCAGGCAGATCTTCCGCTGGCACCACGGCTGGTACCGCGGTCGGCATCGCGGTCGGTTCTTTGGTAGGCACTGCGGCTGGGCGGGACGGCGATGAAGGTCTCGTGGCCCCACGAGCTGTCAATTGGGCTGTCGGCTTGGTTCCAAGAGAATCGGTGACCCAAGCTGAGCGGGTGAATTTGCATAATGTGGGCTTGCCATCCTCCATGCCAGGAAGATACATATCGAAAGTAGCCCATTCGCTGACGCGCAAACGGTCATTGCCAATGCCTTTCACCTTGCCTCTACGGCGCTCGATCTCGTGGTTGAGAGTGCGTATAAAGCGGCGGCCGATCAAAGAACGGCTGGCGCCGGGATCACCGCAAACTTCAACGGTCTCTGCATCAGGAGAGGCTTTGGCAGCAATGCGCAGGAAAGTGTAAGAGCTCAACGGGCTGTCCGCGTCACCGGTGTTGACCGGCTCGGGAGCATCCTTCACCAGGTAGATGGTGTCGTCGGCGATGCCGTTGGTGGGACTGTCCGTCATGCCAATCGCGCGGGTGCAGGAGACTTCCTTGCAGGTTGCCAGAGTCGCAGTCGGGGGGCGGGTGATACCTTTCCTGACGTCCTTGCAGACCTTGATGTGCTTGAAGAGCGCGTTGCGCGTCTCGAACGTGTGATTGCAAAGACCGCAGGTACGGCGGGTGATGTTCTCCTGGTTGCGGATGTAATTGCTCTCGGGCTTCGTTGGGCCGGTTCCACGGCAATTCTTGACATGGGCGCCAATTTCACGTCGCCCCTGGAAGGTCTTATGGCACTTGTGGCAAGTCAGATCAGCCTCCAAGACAATACATGCAACGTCTGAGCCGCGGAAGGAGAAGAAATCTGTCGACGCGTCAGACTTGACGTCTGAGTGCTCGGCTGTGGTACCGCTATCGGAGTCTCCGTCGGTCAAATGTGCGTGATCCGAGCGATGGCGGTCGCGATGGCGGTCCCGCCGGGTGTGGTCGCGATTCCGGTCGTCGCGCTTGTCTCGGACTTGGTTTTCGCGGGGTTTTCCGTGTTGGTGCCGCTGGTCCTCGCGGCGGTCCTCGCGGCGGTCCTCGCGGCGGTCCTCGCGTTTATCGCTACGCTGCTCATCTTGCCGTTTACGGTCGTCGTACCGCCCACGGTCGCCACGCCGCTTGCGATCATCGTAACGGGACCTGTCCTTGTGTGATAAGCGGTATGAGGGGGAGTACTTCTCAGTAGAGGGGCGTGATGAAGAAGATTTGCTGTACACTTCCTCAACCTTGGAGGAGTGGTTGCGCGAGCCAGAAAACTTCTTCTGGTACTGAGGGTAGCGGTCGTACACGGCCGCAAGTAGGATGGACCGAGACTCCTCGATCAATTGCAAATAATCGGAAAGAGAAGAACCGCTAGTGGGCGGAGCCTTGAGATACTGCTTGATTGAAAGGTCCATTCGGCTCCATATCTGGGCCATAACGCCGTGCCAGTTGGTGTTGCACCTGGACAAAGTGCCCATGGAGCGTGACCACCGCAGCATACGTTGCACGAAAGCACTAAGAGCCCGTTCGTCCTTGGCGATGTCCTTCATAGTGAGGTAGGACTCGTTGAAAAGGCGTGTGGCTTCCGCTGCGTCAGGAGCGAAACGAACTTCCAGGTGTGAAAGCAGCGTCGATAAGCCCGCATTCCGCATGATGGTGCGCTGAGCAGACGATATTTCGCTTGTCCACCACTGCGCAGCAGGACCAGCAAGCAATAGCTGGAAATAAGAGAGAATTTGCCGGGCTACCTCCTGGTAGGTGGTCTTGTCTTCTAGGAAGGTTTCGACGCGCTCCCGGAAGCAAGCAACGTCGGTGTAAACAGCATTCTCACCGTCATTGATCACGCCTAGGTGGCCGGGATCCGAATGACTGGGGTCGAAGACACCAATGTCCTGGGGTTTAATTTTAATGACGCCCGTGGAACGTGTGGATGAGTGGGTGAAGTCAGTTTCCGATGTGCCTTCGTAAAAGCGACGGTCATTCGGGCCTGAGGGTTACGAGGGGGCTCGTTGCGTGGATAGTCGGGATTGCTGTCGCCGTGGTCGGAGTCGCCTCCGTCGGGAAAAGCGCCTCCGCCCTCTGCCCTGTGCAACGGCTCCGGGGTAGGATCCTGGGGGCGTCGGTTCTGTCGGGCGGAGTCAAGGTTGTCACGGTACCCGGCACGCACGTCGTTGGCATTGAGGCCTGCGTACGGGTGGGTGCGTGAACGCGAGCTGGGATTAGCCGCTTCGAGGGCGATGATACGGCTTACCACGCCTTGCGGCTTCGCTTCCATCTTACTCTCCGGATCCTTGGTGTGGTTAGTTAAGGCTGCGGTTACCTTATCCATCAAGGTGGTGTTGATCGTGAGAGTTAAGGAAACGATGCTGTTCTTGATATCGCGGAAGCCGTCGTCGACCTTCTTGTTTATCTGGGTGTATCGGAGGTTGATCTTCTGATTGACCCATTCCATGGTCTTGCCGCTGCTTCCGAAATTGTTGGGTTTGTGGCCATTGAGAACCTCATCGTCGGCAAAGAGGAGAGTGTCATGATCAGTCATATTGCCGACATCATCGCCTTCCATAGTCGACTCGCCGTCGTCACGTGAATGAGGCGGGTCCTTCCCGGGTGGCGGCGGCATATTGCCGAAGTCCTGCCTTCGTAGTACGTTCGCGATCTCCTCGGCGGTCTGAGAGTTCTTCTTGTGGGAAGAAGCGGATCGAGTGACGCGGGGGGAGAAATTCGGGTGGGGCGCTTGCCTAGCAGTTGGTCGCGATAGTCGCGTGAAGAGCGAGTCAGAGGGTTTTGCTGGGGATAGTGGTGCGCCGGATGACTCTCTCGGCGCGTCATCTCCGTCGTGGGTTTGAGAAGTTGTACCGGGGGTTGTCATCAGTTGATGATATCGCGCGAGATCCGTGTCGCGATGGCTCAGTCTGTGCAGTGGTACGGGGAATATGGAGGTGATGGTAACCTGTCTTCTCGCGACGCCGGGTACAGGAAGCGTCGCCGGCGGCGTGATTCGAAGGTTGGGAACCGCTTATAGCCTACCGGAAATGTCGGCGAAGCGGGGGACACCTTTTGCAGCGATCTTCAACAACTGGCTACCGGAAACGTCACCAGCAGTTGAAGGCTCGGATCTGGGTGGTAATGGTGCGACGTCGTCGCGGGGGAAGTGGCTACGTCGAATACGCAACTGGGTACCGGGAACGTCGCCAATTGCGCGATCAACGCGTGGAGAGAGGGGATGGTTACGATGTCAAAGTCGCGATCTTGGCTACCGGAAACGTCACCAAAATCGCGTCTTTTTCCAACGCGGTTGAGCCGTCGCAATCGCGGGATGCTTGAAGGATGGTTCAACGAAGTTGAAGAAGATGAATATGGTTGAGATCAGCTGAATCTCGTAGTCTGAGCTACCATTTGATACGGAAAAGAGCCGTATACTGGGAAAAGAGGGCAAATGCCATGTATTCGGGGAAAAGTCAGGTTGTCGTCCTCTGGTAGTTGCAAGCAGCAACTGCAGTGGTGGGAGATATCCCACGATCCAGAGTGGGGCAGCGTTATCTTATCTACA